ACAACTAAAACAGTTGGGGTATAGCCATAAGCCCGTAGATAGATCTATCATAGTACTAAATATCGAAACAAGGTATGCTGTGAAACAACTAAAGTGGCAAATTGTTTTAATTCCTACTACACATGTCGCATCAACACTAGTAAGGAAACTACTGGCTGCATCAAATATCTTTTAACATAGACTCTGATAAGTTTAAAACATGCAACACCAATAAAGGGGTAACCCAAACAGTTGTCAGCTAGTACGTGTATCTCATGACTTCATGCAAAAAGAACTAAGCAGTTTAAACCCAACTAAGAGCACTGGCCCAGGTAACATCCCATCTAAGTTCCTAAAAGATGGTGCCTCTGAATTGCCAATCTCCATTGCTCACATAAAATTTGTGCACCACTAATACCATACTAGAGGGGTTCAAGGAGGCCAGAGTTACTCCTATCTTCAAGAAAAATAGTAGGTCTGATGTCAGCAACTATGGACCTGTCAGTATACTCAGTGTAATATCCAAAATTCTAGGGAGGGTGGTGTACTGTCAGGTAGTTAAGTATCTTGAAATTGAAATGTTTATTTCTCTGTAAAGATTACAATGTGGGGTTTGCATATAATAAAATATTAATTACAATGTGTGGTTTATATATTATAAAATATTAATTACAAAGAAGGCCACTAGCATGCATAGGCATTTTGGGCAGACTAATACTAATTCTTACTCTATATTGGCAAAGGTTATGGAGCATACTGATATTAAAGTTAGGTAACTGTAACAGTAGTGAGGTGGTTCAAAACATTTATGAATGTAACAATTTGTAGATTTAGCAATGAGAAGGGTTTTGTCATGCATGATTCACAGTTTCTATTAAAGCTCCTATATTGGAATATCTCAGGCAAACTTATGACTAGCTTAACCCTTAAACTGTCCAGACGTAGGTCTAAGTTCACGTGCTTAGCACTCTGAATGTAGAGCTACATTTTATTTTACATGCTTTCAACCTTGGCACAATAGGCCTGAGTTGCCTAGGCATGAGAGAATGGGTCTGTGCACTCAGTGTGCGCAGTACGACAAAGTTCGGGGACGCTGAGAAAAATGCGCACTTCATTTTAAACCCCCCCAAAAAAAAATTTTCCCAAAAATATTCAGTGCTACGCAAGTGAACGTAGATCAACGTTTGGACAGTTTAAGGGTTAAGATTTATTAGGCAATAGCTAAATTTAGAAATTTGTTTATAGTCATTTGGGTGAGTGTAAGTGTTAACTAGGGAGAATCACAGATATTGAGAATAAGACTATTTTGTTTTGGATGTGTGCATGTTATGAGTAAGAGAATAGGTGGCTTTCATGTAGTTAGCTGACGGTGGGGTATGTTAGGGAGTTAAGATGTTTTTTAATGGTAGTTTTGAAAATGGTGGTTGAGACTGCAGTTCTAGAGTTTTCAGGCAGGGAGTTCCAGATTTTAGGCCCTTTTATACATTAAATTTCTGTATAGATTTAACCGGACACGGGGAATGTCAGAGATTTTTGTGTCTGGTATTGTGCCTATGGGTCCTGTCGCAACTATCAAGAAAGTGTTTTAGTTCAGGGTTAATATTGGAATTTATAGTTCTGTAAATGTAGGTTGCACAGTAGTAAATGTGGATATTCTGTACAGTGAGTAAGTTTGTCTCTGAAGAGTGAGGGGGGGGGGGTGTTGCCTAGTATTGGATTGTGATAATTTTTACTGTGACTTTTTGTTTGGTTATTATTGTCTTAATGACAGTAACATTCTTTATAGTTAACAGTCAGGCTTTAGGAGATCTTATTCAACTGACACCTTCCTAATTAATCTGATGGATTATGTGAGAACTGAAATGTTGATAGGAAACCTCATAGGAATGGTAACCTTAGACTTGCAAAAGGCCTTCAATGCTGTCAACCACAGTATGTTATGCAAGAAACTCCAGGCTGTCGGCATAGGTTCCGTAGACTGGTGTAAGTCCTATCTTAACAATAGGAAACAAATAGTCAAAATCAACAAAACAGAATCAGAACCCATGTAAATAGCATGTGGAGTTCCCCAAGGTAGTATTCTGGGTCCTTTATTATTCCTATGTTATGTAAACGACATGCCCATCAGTGTCAAATGCAAACTCCTACTACATGCGGATGACAGTGCTTTATTAGTGTCAGGTAAAGACCTACAAGATAGAGCTAATGTAATAACACTGGAACTGGAGTCCTGCAGCAAATGGTTAGTAGACAAACTGTCATTACACCTTGGGAAAACGGAAGCCATTCTCTTTGGCATGAAACGTAAACTGAGAAGGGCAAATAATTTTAATGTCCGGTGTAATGGGGAACCCATCACTTCAGTTTTCTCAGTAAAATATCTGGGAACCCCCTTTGACCCATGCATGTCAGTTGAATTGATAGGGAAAAGCATAGTAAAGAAAGCAAATGCCAGACTGAAGTTCCTCTACAGACAAGCATAGTGTCTACCTACTGAGGCTGACAGGACCCTATGTCTAGCCCTTATACAATGTCATATGGACTATGCTTGCTCTTCATGGTACTCTGCCTTGACAAAAAAAAACTGATAGATAAACTGCAAATCACCCAGAACAAAATGGTAAAAGTCATACTGGACCTGAATATAAGAAAACATGTAGGCCAGGGTGAACTGCAACAGTTGGATATGTTGAAGACAGAGTAAAACAAATGAAGTTAAATCAAGTTTATAAAATTGCTCACAAACAGTGTCTAGAATATCTTGCTGCCAATTTTGTCAAGGCTGGGAATCAAAGCAACCATAGTACTAGGGGGGACAGAACACAACTTTGTACTACCTACAATCAATGTAGTATCAGCGAGACAGAAAGTTATGCTGGTCTGACACTTGTAGCAGGACATCTCAGGATTCCATAAGACTACTCTCCTGCATCCTAAGTGCCTTCTAAGCTCATGTGGTAGATGAATTTGTCCATAAATAACAAAAAGGCACAATACCATAACTGGAGCGATACACAAATAACCCGCACGTAGGAGAGAAGAGCTTACGATGACGTTTCGGTCCAACTTGGACCATGTCAGTAGTCCTCTCTCTTGTGTGCGGGTTATTTGTACAGTGGAACCTCAAAAATCGAACGTATCACATATCGAACGTTTCAAAAGTAGGACCATTTTATTGGACAAACTGTGTCCCTATTATCGAACGCGCCCCTATTTTCGGACCGCCGGGTACGGGACCTGTCTGCTGGCCCACTCTGTCCGTGTCCCCGTGCAGGCGCTGTGAGCAGTGTAGCTTTGTTTATGCTTGAGTGAACACTAACCTGCGCTCTCATTCACGCATTTTACAATTATTTCGTTGTGTTTAGTGCTTGTGGGACTGTGAAATAAGCTACCATGGGCCCAAAGAAACTTGCTAGTGGTACCCCTGTGGTAAAGAAAGTGAGAAATACCATAGATGTGAAGAAGGAAATAATACAGAAGTATGAGAGTGGTGTGAGACTTGTTGAGCTTGCCAGGATGTATGGGAAAAACAAGTCGACCATCGGTTCTATCCTGTCAAAGAAAGAACAAATCAAGGAAGCTGATGTTGTGAAAGGTGTTAATATAGGGAGTGGGTGGATGAGGTGCCTTCTTCAAAGATTAAGGAGATTTGTGCCAAGTGGAATGATGTCCAAATGTTTGTGCAGAAGTACCACCCTGAGCAAGTTGAAACAAGCCATCTTTGCAACAAGTTCAGTGACAGAACCATGTCCCATTTTAGGGAAATGTTAAAGAGGTGCCAGAAACAGAGGACTGTGGACAGTTATTTTGTGAGACAGGGGTCCAGTGACTCTCAAGCTGGTCCTAGTGGCATTAAAAGACAGAGAAGGGAAGTAACCCCAGAGAGGGCTTTACCTGAAGTCCTCATGGAGGGGGATTCTCCTTCCAAACACTAACCCCAACTCCCTCTCTCCTTCTCCCTATCTTCCAGATGCCATCACCAATCTTCAATAAAGATAAGTAAAAATGTTATTTTATATGTATTACTATACATAATTAAAAACTATAGTATTTGTTGTATGTAAAACTGTAATTAATCTCTATAAAATGTATTTTTTTGTGTGAATATTTTTGGGTTTCTGGAACGGATTAATTGTATTTCCATTATCTCTTATGGGAAATATTGCTTCGAATTTCAGACTTTTCGAATTTAGAACTAGCTCCTGGAACGGATTAAGTTCGATTTTTGAGGCTCCACTGTATATGGATTTGTCTATGGTCTCCATCTGCCATGTGATATCAAGTGCCAGTTTGTCAGGCATTTTTGGCTATAGATGAATTGATATGATTGGAAGTAGGGTGACATTTAGTTGCACAGATCATTGTATTACATAAGACATGCCATCAAATGAAAGAAATAAAAGAAGCCATTGATGTGTGAGTGTTCACTGTTGACCTCATTGAGTCGGTTCCTTGGGGACATTGTTAACTGTAATAATGAACCTAGAATTGCTCAGTGATTATTTACCCGAATTATTCATACAGTGTTGTGCAAAGATTTTTTTTTATGCAAGACAGTGCTCCTTGTGATGTCACAGAATCTGTTGTTTAATGGCTTCATGACTGTCAGGTACCATTCTTGGATGACTATCCAGGAAATGTTCCCAGACTTGAACTTCTTTAAATATCTCTAGGCTGTGATAGAGAGAGTGAGGGATTTGTCCCAAATATGCACACTGAAATCACCGCCTGCATAAGCAAGAGACTTGCAGATTGCAAGATACCTCAATGGGTATACTAATGGATATACAAAGACAGTTTAATAAATATAAAGGGACCAAGACTTTTCAACACCCTCTCTTGTGTATAGTATAAGCTAGGTATACTACTAAAATACTCAGTGTGACTATCTATGAAATAGATTGTTTTCAAAATTAGTCTTTCCATCATTGCTTAGAGTGGATTTTTTAGCAGTTTATGATATTCAATATAAGTGTGAATTGTAGTCTATAATGTTCATCTTTGCTTTCATTTTGTTACAGATTTTGTTGACCATTACAATGGTAGGTATTATGTTGGTGTTAGTGCTAAAGTTCGGGTGCAGCTAAAAGATGGAGTTTTTCATGAAGATATTGGCTATGGTGTCTCTGAAGGAATGAAAAGCAAAGCACTCTCATTGGAGAAAGCTCGTAAGGTTAGTGTTTGCCATATTCCTTTCTGATCACCTGTTCACATTTTTACATTTGGTCCATATAATTTTTTTTAACTACATACACAAATATGTAGGCCAGCTTGATGTATCATTTGACAGATTGAGTATCAAGATTGAAGGTCACAGCATAATATTAATGATCAAATTTGGAATACAACTCAACTCTGGAATTCACAAGGGTTAGGTTCCTAGAGGTGACGTGAAGCCTGAAACCAATGATAATAGGAAAATTTGCTTGTTCAAGTAATTTACAAGTTTTTGCCATGTCTTCTTTTAATATTGCTCTGATCTGCATAATAATGATTTTAAGACAGATTGAGTCCATTTTGAATGAAATTCTATAGCTATTTTCAATTCAGGGATAGTGTGCATTAATAAATCCTTCACAGCATCACATTGTGCATTGATACTGCTGTTTAGGAAACTTAGCTAAGATTACTGTTTGTTTACCTTTGTCCCCACCCCAGAAGGAAGAAAGCAAGAGTTTTTTGTATACACATTTCAATATAATTTTGTTTATTTTTTTTTAATTTAATATAGGAAGCAGTGACTGATGGTTTAAAACGGGCATTGAAAAGCTTTGGAAATGCCCTTGGCAACTGCCTCAGTAACAAGGATTATCTTCGCTTCATTGGTAAAGTGCCTTCTGCCCCTGTACTAGACATCAAGGCCAGTGATTTGTTACATCAAGATATTAGCACAGGTCTTGCACAACTTCGCAGAAGAGTTCTTGATGAAGGTAGAGCTCAGAAACAGGTAAGCTTGATGGTTGAGGTGCAGTAGAAAAGACCCAGAAAAGAAAGAAACACTTTCACCATCGTTCACACATAATCACTGAATATTTGTTTTAATTTAGAAATACAGTAGGACCCCACTTACATAGCAGGTTAGATTCCAGGCTACTGCTGTAAAGCGGTATATGTTAGTGCAAACAAGTTCATATTAATTTTTTTTTTCTTTTTCAACAAGTCGGCCGTCTCCCACCGAGGCAGGGTGACCCAAAAAAGAAAGAAAATCCCCAAAAAGAAAATAATTTCATCATCATTCAACACTTTCACCACACTCTCACATTATCACTGTTTTTGCAGAGGTGCTCAGAATACAACAGTCTAGAAGCGTATACGTATAAAGATACACAACATATCCCTCCAAACTGCCAATATCCCAAACATTTAAAGTGCAGGCATTGTACTTCCCGTTTCCAGGACTCAAGTCCGACTATATGAAAATAACCGGTTTCCCTGAATCCCTTCACTAAATATTACCCTGCTCACACTTCAACAGATCGTCAGGTCCCAAGTACCATTCGTCTCCATTCACTCCTATCTAACACGCTCACGCACGCTTGCTGGAAGTCCAAGCCCCTCGCCCACAAAACCTCCTTTACCCCCTCTCTCCAACCCTTTCGAGGACGACCCCTACCCCGCCTTCCTTCCCCTATAGATTTATATGCTTTCCATGTCATTCTACTTTGATCCATTCTCTCTAAATGACCAAACCACCTCAACAACCCCTCTTCTGCCCTCTGACTAATACTTTTATTAACTCCACACCTTTTCCTAATTTCCACACTCCGAATTTTCTGCATAATATTTACACCACACATTGCCCTTAGACAGGACATCTCCACTGCCTCCAACCGTCTCCTCGCTGCTGCATTTACCACCCAAGCTTCACATCCATTTAAGAGTGTTGGTACTACTATACTTTCATACATTCCCTTCTTTGCCTCCATAGATAATGTTTTTTGACTCCACATATACCTCAATGCACCACTCACCTTTTTTCCCTCATCAATTCTATGATTAACCTCATCCTTCATAAATCCATCCACCGAAATGTCAACTCCCAAGTATCTGAAAACATTCACTTCTTCCATACTCCTCCTCCCCAATTTGATATCCAATTTTTCTTTATCTAAATCATTTGATACCCTCATCACCTTAATCTTTTCTATGTTCACTTTCAACTTTCTAACTTTACACACATTCCCAAACTCATCCACTAACCTTTGCAGTTTTTCTTTAGAATCTCCCATAAGCACAGTATCATCAGCAAAAAGTAACTGTGTCAATTCTCATTTTGAATTTGATTCCACATAATTTAATCCCACCCCTCTCCCGAACACCCTATCATTTACTTCTTTTACAACCCCATTTATAAATATATTAAACAACCATGGTGACATTACACATCCATGTCTAAGACCTACTTTTACCGGAAAGGAGTCTCCCTCTCTTCTACACACCCTAACCTGAGCCTCACTATCCTCATAAAAACTCTTTACAGCATTTAGTAACTTACCACCTATTCCATATACAGTGGACCCCCGGTTAACGAACTTTTTTCATTCCAGTAGTATGTTCAGGTGCCAGTACTGACCGAATTTGTTCCCATAAGGAATATTGTGAAGTAGATTAGTCCATTTCAGACCCCCAAACATACACGTACAAACGCACTTACATAAATACACTTACATAATTGGTCGCATTTGGAGGTGATCGTTAAGCGGGGGTCCACTGTACTTGCAATATCTGCCACATTGCTCCTCTATCCACTCTATCATATGCCTTTTCTAAATCCATAAATGCAATAAAAGCTTCCCTACCTTTATCTAAATACTGTTCACATATATGCTTCAATGTAAACACTTGATCTACACATCCCCTACCCACTCTGAAACATCCTTGCTCATCTGCAATCCTACATTCTGTCTTACCTCTAATTCTTTCAATTATAACCCTACCGTACACTTTTCCTGGTATACTCAGTAAACTTATTCCTCTATAATTTTTACAATCTCTTTTGTCCCCTTTCCCTTTATACAAAGGGACTATACATGCTCTCCGCCAATCCCTAGGTACCTTCCCCTCTTTCATACATTTATTAAACAAAAGTACCAACCACTCCAACACTATATCCCCCCTGCTTTTAACATTTTTGTCATGATCCCATCAGTTACAGCTGCTTTACCCCCTTTCATTCTACGTAATGCCTCACGTACCTCCCCCACACTTACATTCTGCTCTTCTTCACTGCTAAAAGATGGTATACCTCCCTGGCCAGTGCATGAAATTACCACCTCCCTTTCTTCCTCAACATTTAAAAGTTCCTCAAAATATTCTTGCCATCTACCTAATACCTCCCTCTCCCCATCAACTAACTCCCCTACTCTGTTTTTAACTGACAAATCCATACTTTCCCTAGGCTTTCTTAACTTGTTTAACTCCAAATTTTTTTCTTATTTTCATTAAAATTTCTTGACAGTGCCTCTCCCACTCTATCATCTGCTCTCCTTTTGCACTCTTTCACCACCTCTTTCACCTTTCTTTTACTCTCCATATACTCTGCTCTTCTTATAACACTTCTGCTTTGTAAAAACCTCTCATAAGCTACCTTTTTCTCTTTTATCACACCCTTTACTTCATCATTCCACTATCACTCCTCTTTCCTCCTGCCCCCACCCTCCTATAACCACAAACTTCTGCCCCACATTCTAATACTGCATTTTTAAAACTATTCCAACCCTCTTCAACCCCCCACTACTCATCTTTGCACTAGCCCACCTTTCTGCCAATAGTTGCTTATGTCTCACCCAAACTTCCTCCTCCCTTAGTTTATACACTTTCACCTCCCTCTTACTTGTTGTTGCCACCTTCCTCTTTTCCCATCTACCTCTTACTGTAGCTGCAACTAAATAATGATCCGATATATCAGTTGCCCCTCTATAAACATGTACATCCTGGAGCCTACCCATCAACCTTTTATCCACCAATACATAATCTAGCAAACTACTTTCATTACGTGCTACATCATACCTTGTATATTTATTTATCCTCTTTTTCATAAAATATGTATTACTTATTACCAAATCTCTTTCTACACATAGCTCAATTAATGGCTCCCCATTTACATTTACCCCTGGCACCCCAAATTTACCTACCACTCCCTCCTTAATATTTTTACCCACTTTAGCATTGAAATCCCCAACCACCATTACTCTCACATTTGATTCAAAACTCCCCATGCATTCACTCATTTCCCAAAATCTCTCTCTTTCCTCTACACTTCTCTCTTCTCCAGGTGCATACATGCTTACTATAACCCACTTTTCACATCCAATCTTTATTTTACTCCACATAATCCTTGAATTAATACATTTATAGTCCCTCTTTTCCTGCCATATCCTTCAACATTATTGCTACTCCTTCTTTAGCTCTAACTCTATTTGAAACCCCTGACCTAATCTCATTTATTCCTCTCCATTGAAACTCTCCCACCCCCTTCAGCTTTATTTCACTTAAAGCCAGGACATCCAGCTTCTTCTCATTCATAACATCCACAATCATCTCTTTCTTATCATTTGCACAACATCCATGCACATTCAGACTTCCCACTTTGACAGTTTTCTTCTTCTTATTCTTTTTAGTAATCTTTACAGGAAAAGGGGTTACTAGCCCATTGTTCCCGGCATTTTAGTTGACTTTTACAACACACATGGCTTACGGAGGAAAGATTCTTATTCCACTTCCCCATGGATATAAAAGGAAAAGCAATAAGACCAAGAACTGTTAAGATAAAATCAAAGAAAACTCAGATGAGTGTGTATAAATAAACATGTACATGTATGTGTAGTGTGACCTAAGTGTAAGTAGAAGTAGCAAGACATACCTGTAATCTTGCATATTTATGAGACAGACAAAAGACACCAGCAATCCTACCATCATGTAAAACAATTACAGGCTTTCGTTTTACACTCACTTGGCAGGACGGTAGTACCTCCCTGGGTGGTTGCTGTCTACCAACCTACTACCTATTCATATATATATATATATTCATATATAGTTTATTTAGACATGATACATAGTTGTACAAGGAATTATAGTAGTTGGGGGTACATGCCAAAAGCCCCTTGTATGCAGAGCATTATGGGCAGGCTTAAAATTAACTTAAAATTAACAAGCAATGAAGGTTCAGTGGTAAAAATTACCTTAAGCAATTTACAATAAGAAGTACAATTGAGTATTTGAAACAATGAGATTTGAACATTTCAGTATTGAAACATTATAGTTGTACAAATTTGTCGTATTACAATGTATAACAAACAAGATGATCAATTTACTGTATGTTGTCTTGAAGTTTTAAGATTTAAGTAATTGGGAGAATTATTGGTAATGCTAAATATTGAGTGTTGATTATTTAGTCCTGGGCAAGTAAGTGGTTTTTTAGAAGTCTTAAATTGATTTTCAGGCCTGGTTACTTTAGTATGTTCTGGTAATGAATTCCAGATTTTGGGCCCTTTATCTGGAGTTTATCTGGAGAGAGTTCCGGGGGTCAACGCCCCCGCGGCCCGGTCTGTGACCAGGCCTCCTTAGGTCAGTGTCCCAGGATGCGACCCACACCAGTCGACTAACACCCAGGTACCCATTTTACTGATGGGGAACATAGACAACAGGTGGAAAGAAACACGTCCAATGTTTCTACTCTGGCTGGGAATCGAACCCAGGCCCTCACCGTGTGAAGCGAGAGCGTTAACCACCAGGCCACCAGAGCCCCTGCATAGTTTCTACACAGTGTGATAAGGACACGGGGTACATCAAAAAGAGATCTGTCTTGTGTTATGGTCATGTGCCCTGTTAACCCTTTCAGGGTCTGTGCCGTAGATCTACGGCTTTACGTTCAGGGCCCAAACCGTAGATCTACGCCATGAGCACAGCTCACTCTGATAAGCTGTGAGCAGTAAATTTGGGCCTAGA